CCGAGTATAGTTCGCCTTGTTACATATTTTGGTGATGTGGATGTTCCAGTTAAGATTTTTCTGGATATGAACACCAAAATATTTAGTTGATTTCGCATCCTCAAGAACTTGTCCATGTATTGTATATGATTTTATGATGGGATTTTTACTACTGAAGATAACAAGAACTCTTTATGAGATCAAAAATGGACAAAGTAAAATTAGGCTCAAACTAAAAGCTTTTCAAACTATTAAAGTTCTGGTTGAGAGAATGGCCATCCCTGCAGAGAAAAACAAAAAACAAAAAATGGGAAAATTCGTTTAGCCCGAAGAGGATGGTTAATAGACCTTTCCGGAGTGTCAATCAAACTTAACAACTGACTAATCAGAACAGCGCTAGGAATACGCGCACCTCTTACAAACACATGTGTTGTCCAAAAACGCACGTGTTCGCGTATGTTTTAACACTGTCGCCTTGTGGGACCTTAGCAACAGTACCGTATCCAAGGGGCGGAGCTTAGCGGAAAGGAAAGAAGTTTGGCCCGAAGAGGATGGTTAATTTGTAAGGCAAGAAGTTTTCAAAATATTGATGTACAATACAATAATGTGGCAATTCTACTGTATGGCTATGCACATCATATTTATTCCTATTGAAAAATGGCCAAGTAAATTAGAAACAAACTCGGTTTTGTTTGGTTTTCGTAGTTTCTCAGCAATTTTACCAGGATCGCACATTATCCACAATGCAGAAAGATTCGTTCATGTGCTCTTGGCCATTATACAAATCCATTTTGATTATATTGACCGCTTACTGTTAGTACTCTGCAAAAAAAAAATAAAGAGGACAAAATTCACATATTATTATTACATGCACTAGAACCGGACCTTCTTATTTAGGTAAATTGATTTTCAGTCTATCTAACAACAATGGAGGTATACAATACTTGTATAAATCCATGATCTAACTACAGGTCTCTAATTCCAACAATAAAAATAAGAAAAATTTGTTAATTTGGGAATACAGAGTGGTTTTAATTGGAGGTGGTCTTTAGTTGGAGGGGTCTTTAATTAGAGGAAGGCCTGTAGTAGTATTTAGGGTAGTAGTAGGCCTAGACCTACCCTACTACAGGTAAAGTATTAATATAATGGCAGTAAGTAGGCCCCTAGGACTAGTAAATTACGATTCAGACTTGCCACAAGTCTCTTATTTTTTATTATTTTTCTCATTCTGGACAGCGTTACTAACGAGAAAGTTAATTTAGAGACAGAAGAAACCGGGAAAAAAATCCTAATCTGGAAAAAACAAATTTGAGTATGGGACGCCAATTAAATTAGGTATGGCGCGCACTAAGTGCAATAAAAAGTTAATAACCCAAAATTAGGGCCTGGAACCCAGGCTACTTACGATTTTGCGCATCTACTTTTCCTTGTCATTTTCTGTGTAAACAAGGCATAGTCTTACTTACACTTTCAACCTCCCGTCTTCAGCGGTTTGCAGATTTCTTTTTAACTTTAGAGAAGGATAGCTATTCTTTAACCTGATCTTCATTATTTTCCTTTCTTTGCCAGTGTTCTAAGCAGAAAAAAGCTTTCGGTTGCAATCTGAACACTGTTTTCAGTTCACTCTCCGTTTACTAATTTCTGATATCATGATTGAGGTAGGCTGGCCCAGTGTAAACACTGCTTGGGATTTGTCCCAATATCTTGGGATTTTTAATGACACCTTGTGATGTAGGGAATTTTTGTTAACTTTTCATTAAATCTTGAGATTTTTGGAATGCTATGGAATTTTTTTAATTTTTCCTATCAAGAAGAGATGAAATAGGCTGCTAATGGCCATATAATAACAGGGACGTATCCAGGGGGGGGGCCGTGGGAGCCGCGGCCCCCCCCCCCCCCCCTTTGTACACACTGTTAAAATTTTAAAGCTTATTCTTGAGCCAATACAAATATAATGGTGATGTGATGATGATGAATTTTACTAAAAGTGTCATTTCTGTCTCTTATACACATCTAGATGTGTATAAGAGACAGGTACATACCGGTACTCAAAGACAATGTTTTTAAGCTTTGTTATCTATGGGATACACACATACATTAATAAGATCTCTATGGTTGTCAAAAATCGCTGATAAAAGATCATGAGAATTTTTTTTGGCGCTTCATTTTACTAATGGTGATGTGATGATGATGAATCATCACATGTGTCATTTCTGGCCATCTAGAGGTACTATTTCCTAAAATTTTCTCATCTCAGCACCAACCATTGTGGGGCTGAGGTGGGTGTCAACTCACAAAATGCCCTCCCCCTCCACCTTTCAAAACCGATCTGTGCCCTTCCCTGGGTATGACATTAAACTACATCGAGTCGGCTCCTGATGTATGTCAATACTGCTGTTTGTTTTTAGGATGTGATCTGCTTTTTCATGTACATTTTTCGTGATTATGACTATTCTGGATAAAGAATGTTTTGAGCAGAGTTGGATTCAAGCCCCCCCCCCCAACCTTCATTTTTTAAGGAAAAAAAAGAAAAATATATTCAAATTAAAGTGCGAGAGTATATTCAAATTGAAGTGCGAGAGTGTAATTTCCGGCCATCTAGAGATGCCCTAATCATAAATTTTCTTACCTCAGCCCCAACCATGGTGGGGCTGAGGTGGGAGGTTCCTCGGTCTGTGAAAGTCCCTCTCTGGTTCAGCTCTCTTTCGAATTCCTGGATCTGCCATTGTTGATTTATTATATTATTTTTGCGCTTGTATAATGTATAATGCGTCTATTGCAATTTTCACTTTATCCTCTCAAACAGTCCTAAGAACGTTCAGAGTGCACTACTTCACAGGGGGATTCTCCCCCTTGACCCCGCCGGGGTCATACGTAATTCGCATAACGGCTCCCCCCCCCCCTTCAAAATCCTGGCTACGTCCCTGTATAATAACACTATAGTTTACAGTTATGAATGCATAAGGACTATTTAGTTGTTCAAAAAACAGACCCATTGGAATCTTCGTAGGATTTTTTTTTAAAATTCTTCTGAAAGGCTATTGTTTAAAGCCATTTTCATCATATTTCAAATATTTGTATTTAACAATTAACAAATTGGTTTATTTGTCTAAAAATATTTGAAATTTACTGGTACAAAACCAGAAGAAACTATTCAATAATTTTCATTTGCCCTGTCATTTTATGTATATAATTGTAAGACAGCCACCAAACCCCTCCTCCCAACTTCAGAAAATTCTACACAGTTGAATAAAAAACGAACAAATTATTGGTATCAAAAATCCAAACACTGTTTTGTTATATAGTGCCGATTACAGTCACATAATACAATTATTTGAAAAAGCTTTAAAATTTGACTTTTCTATTAAGTTGTAGGTATAATACTAACATTTTTCAGATCTTGGGATTTTTAAAGCAATCTTGAGATTTTTTAGACTCAATCTTTTAAATTTCGTTTTTTCCCAGTGGTCGCACTGGGCTGGCCTAGTTCACATTATCTTCTGTAGTAAAAAGTTGCTACTGCATAATTTGTGTATGATTTCCAAACGTAATTCTTTCTCGTTGTATTTATAAACTTCACCCACTTATTGAACGTTTCTATATCTTTATTCTTTTTGGAAAAAGAATAAACTAGACTATTCCAAAACCCTACAAACAAGCGTTCGGCATCTTGCTTATATTTTGTCGTAGGCAAGATTATTCGTGTCAAAGTGCAATTTGATTGACCAATCACAAATCACTTACAGTCGGGAATACGTGGTTTTTTCAAAAAATCTCAACAATCACAGAATGTGTATGAAAACAAAGGTGGCGTATCGACATAGCGGCCATTTCTCTGAGAATTAACTTGTCTCAAATTCTACAGATTTTTCAAGGTTAGTATTTTGTGGATGGTTTATTGACTAACCAAGAATTCTTAAACCTCTAGATTTTGTGAAACTTTTTCGTATCCGTTTTAAGTACGCAGCCATTTTTAATTCATGTATTAACTAACACCGTTTACACGGCCACTTAACACCTATTACCGGATAAACGCGATCATCATGATGATCTTAACGTGGCTATAGATTTTTTTCATGACCAGTACTGTACGGGGTAATCAACCTCTTTATTTCTCTGGGTAGAGTATCAGTAGCGTTGTATTTAATTACTGAAGTACATTTAATTCACCTTTCTACCAGTTATGTATTTTTGTTATACCTGTAGCCGTACATTGGCTAAACATGATAGAACAAGCTATACTGTTCCAGGACGGCTAAGGAAAGCTAGTTGATATAATGCTACGGTAATTATATTATGTTAAAAGCAGCTTACCTCAGTACCATTTACATTTTCTACAAAAGTGAAGTTGATTACCTTATCACTCCAAGAAACACTATATGATGTCACCCATAGTGGTGTATACAGACTTCATTACATCGTATGAGTCAATTACTGTATCGTTTGAAATTTCGGTACATAGTCTATTTTATGAACAAATACGTTCACGAATTAGGAGGAGGTACAGGTAAGAGTAGCACTCAATAAAATAGTAAAAAATCGTGCAATCCGATGTTTTTTATACTAGTCTCCTTCGCTTTGACGGTGATCGCTTATTTACCAAGAATAAGAAGAGCGCACATCGACACGGTTTTAGTGTACATCACACATTAACAGTCTAGGTCATGCTGATTGGTTGATATAGTACATGTAAAATGAATAACATGTTTTGCGTACTGCCTGACAATAATGGGCTGTACAAGTTGTAAATAATTGGGATTTGGAGGGAAACCACCTTCCTGCCGCTTACGAAATCTACTCGCGCTACCAAATGACCTTGTCGCACTGAGCGCGACAAAGTTGAATTCCTTGTCGCACCTTAAAAAATCAGGTCGCAAATGTGACCAAATAACCCTTAATTTTAAGCCCTGCAAATGTACATAAACTAAACATGATAGAACAAGCTATACTGTTCCAGGACGGCTAAGGAAAGCTAGTTGATATAATGCTACGGTAATTATATTATGTTAAAAGCAGCTTACCTCAGTACCATTTACATTTTCTACAAAAGTGAAGTTGATACCATTATCACTCCAAGAAACACTATATGATGTCACCCATAGTGGTGAATACGGATTTCCTTGTGTTACTACACCAATAACTGATTTCACATCACTGAGGTTGGCTTGAATCCATTCTCCCTGGCTGTTCGACTTAGGGACCCATGCTCCATATCCACTATTTTCGTCAGGTTGTGTATTCAGTCGTCCTTCATCAACATGATAATTATTGTCATACACAGAAGATGCTGTGAGCTGAACGGTACCATCTTCAACACCAAGTGCATAGAAACCTAAAGAGATAGATTTGCATTATAAAACATACTTAGCGATCTTGTGCAGGCCCATAGCCAGGTGGGGTGCAGAAGGGGCAAATGTACCCCACTGCCCAAAATTAAAAGGTGCACATTTTTAAACCTATATTTTCACTAAAATTCACTTATTGCATGGATTATTCAATTTGTCACCTTTTCTAACTGTTAATCTTTTAATAGCTGTGTTACGAGATTTGTCAAAAAAGTGATTTGCTTAGTGAATGCAGATAGACCTATATTAACAAAAAGCTATGTTATATAGGCTTACAGATGTAATGGACATAAATACTACTTCTTCAGGTCCACAATACCAAAATGAATAGAAAACATAGGCGGATTGGGAGCATCTGGCCTGCCCTCCTCGCGCAAAAGCAATCATAAGGAGCTGAGACACTGTTTAGATCTCCTACGGATAAATCAGTGCAGTAAATCATAAAAATAATTTGTAAGTTGAGGAAAAATTGTATTGCAGATCAACCTTTCAAGCACTCTACTAGACACACAGAGTAATGAAATTGGTCAGTAGTTAGTCAAATCATTTTTATCACACTTTTTAAAGACAGAACTATATTTGCCTTTAACCAGTCTTCAGGCAGCTCACCAGTGGTCATGGATAAATTGAATATAAAACATAGTGGTAAACAAAGTTAATCAGCACAATTCTTAAGAATGACTGGCAAAATCCTGTCAACACAAATTGCTTTACTGGTGTCGAGTTTTACATGGATTTCAATGTTACAAAGTTCTGTTTGAAGTTTGAGTCTGTTTATTATTGTGATTACTTAATTACAGGCCATAATAATCTGTCACACTCAGAATGATTAGTTTACAATCCATTTATCTGTGATATGGAAGTCTCTGGAAAGACTGCAACACTGCAATAAAGAAACCTTGAAATAATCTAGATTTCTCCGTTATATGTCAAACCTAAGAGCTTTTCTAGGTTTTCTAGGTATGTAGAAATAATTATCTTATATGACGCCCCGGTAAGGACATAGTTTATTAACGAAATGATTTCCATTCGGACCAACCCCCCTCCCACACTAGCATAGGCCAATGTGAGTTGAGAGGGGTGAAGATTGTCGCATCTGGAAGGCCCAATTAAAATTGCTTCCGATGCGCCTGATGTGTGTAACTAACAGCAGATTCCAACTTGATATTAAGTTTTATTTATATTTATTATTTTACGCTGTGATAAAGTGGTAAGAGACTACCGTTTAGAACATCTGCGGATTTAAAATGTGGAAAACATTCGTTTCCATACTAACTGATTGATTGCAATTTTAAGAGAATGAGATATTATTTACCTGGACGTGGACCAAGAAGCTCAAATCTTAGAGCAATGTAGATATGCCATTCCATTGGACAAATGCGGATGAATTGAGTGTAAATAGTAGATTGGAACATTTGTGTCACCTCAGTGTTTTGATCCGTGTTTCCCTTTAAAATCTACAAAAAAATACACATTTTAGATAATTACTTTATTATTATCTATTTGTATAATATTGGATTTATATCGTGTACATCAATCTCATGAATGTATTGCCAACATTGTATTGTATACTATAACAACTCCCTTCCTCGACCTAGAAACAATCAAGAATGCAGTAATTACAACCTCCTATTTCCCCGTGGGTAGTATCGGCAGCATTGTGTGTAATAAAGCATTTCATTTATATTCCTACTAGAATTGTATTGTTTTTATATACTAAAAAAAAACATGTAGGCCCATTTTGCACAGGACAAATAATGGGACCAGATTTAATGCCACAGTATGGTAATAAATGTTCAAAGCAGCTTACCTCAGTACCATTTTCATTTAATATCACATGAAATGTGGTATCATTATTATGCCAAATAGCTTTATATGATGTCACCCATAAAGGCCCGTCACTTAGCCCTTGTGTTACTAAACCAATAACCGATTTCACATCATCGAGGTCGACTTGAATCCATTGATTCTGGTTCAAATATTCAGGTATCCATCCTGATGTTGAGTTCAGTCGTCCATGTTGAGCAGTATACTTTTTATATGCTGAAGATGCTATGAGCTTATCTGATGGAATGGTACCATCTTCAACACCAAGTGGTTCAGTAAGCCCACAATCTAAAGAGATATGTTATTTTGTATTATAAATAGCAATATGCTGCCCGAGTTAATTTGCTTAAAGTAAAATAATGAAAAGGTTGGGAATTTTTAGGCGTCTCTGATAAAGAATACTATTGACATTTCAAAATCCTTGTAGTACACAACGCAGATATTTCTGAAAAGAACTGTTGTTTTGTTGAGAATGTCTCAACGTTTCGATTGATATTATTCTCCTAATAAGGATTAAAGAAACTCTTAACAAAACAACTTTTCAAAACTTTCTAGGTGGTGTACCGTAAGCATTTAATATATTATTACTTACGACATGCAAACCTTCAAACAACATAAAATTGACAACAATCTAGAACAATGAATGACATGAATTCAGTGAAGTAAAATGTATTCATAAATTACGATGACCTGACATGATTCAAAAACATGCACAATATAGCTTTTGAAATATCCTTAGCTGGCAAACCATAAAGCAATGAGTTACACCATTCTAGCCTTGAACGAGAATCTCGGTTGATCTAGGTTCTATAGGTACTTCTGGATACTCCAAATTCTACGAATTGGTTGAAGCCCGGCTTTACAGACATTGTGTACCTGATTGACATGCTAAGTGTTGAGTCCATAAGGCGCGATCGACAAATTATTCAAAACGACAAGAACGCGTTCAGCTAAACGGTGCTATGCCAAACGCATCTGGCAAATCAATCGTCCTAATTAAAACAACTTTATGAATATTCATTAGCTAAGCTTCACCGTTCACGACACCAAAGATACTAGAAATACAAGATAGAGTTCTCCACACGAAAAAAGTGTTCCACCGTGTTCCACCGAAATGCATGGTGGGAATACGAAAAATGGGATGCCCCCTACAGCTGGATCTAAAAAAACTTGTGCCAAACTTTCGTTACCAAGTCGTCGCGTATTTTATTATCATTTCTCAACAAAGATACCAAACTGGAACAGACAGTGACATCGGTGAATACATAACCTCCTTGGTGGCGGTAGAAATCGTTGCTATTATCCAAATAATACACAAAACAATTAAAGCATAATCATGAATCAGTAAACAATAAAACAACAATACAGCGCAAAATTGCATGGCCGGACGCACTCTTAGTGAAAAAGTTTTCCTCCATTAGTGGAAAAGGAAGGGCGCCTTTTGCGTCTGGATATACTTAGCAACAGAAGGGCGCCCTGTACGTTGGGCACGAAGTATAGGAAACTTGCATGGTTAAAAAGAAGGGCGCCGCCTACATTGGGCACGACTTCCGCCTCATTTTTACAATGCGAGAACTCTATCTTGTATTTCTAGTATCTTTGACGACACAAGTCTGAATGGTTCGAACCGTCCAGACGCGTCTGAACGGTTTGCGGAGGCTTTTGTTATTGTTCATAGCCCATCGTTCAAACCATCCAGACGCGTCTGAACGGTTTGCGGAAACTTTTGTTATTTTTATTATTTCATAGCCTATCGTTCGGACGCGTTTTTTACGTTCTTATTAATTACTACAGTATGTTTTAATGCTATTGCGGGTATCGTTGAAATGCGGTCCATTTGAACTACAGTTGGCAGGAGACGCAAACAAAAATGACGATGTATTTTTATTGAGTTTCATAGTGTAGGCCTAGGTTAGGCATAGGTCCTATTATCTAACGTAATCCTACTAGGCCTAATAATAATTAATAGGCAAGCCTAGACTAGGGACTAAAATATAGGCCAGGCCTAGGGTTATATGAAAATAAAGGTAAAAAATAATTCAAAAATAGCCTGTAGACCTAGGCTTACATCTTGACTGTTAAAGCCCTATTTGGCAGGAAATAATTGTATGTGGTGTAGGCCTCCTCGATGCCTAGGCCTAGACAGTTTAAACTTTGACCGGATTACTTCAAAAATGTACTTGTCCCCACGGCTCGGATGCTTTGCCATTATAAGCCACGTGCTGTGTGTGAAATGTTGGAAGTATGCCAACTGATACTAAAAATAGCACATACTAAAAATAGGCTTCTATAAATTTGGCTATGTCACTCGGTATGCCACAGATTCTATGGGTATGCGTACGATGTTCAATTTAATCAGAGAAAATTTGATGATAGGTCTGAATGATGTTTTTTGTTTTATTTTTATAGAGTAGGCATGCCTATGTTTAGAAGTTATTGCAGCCGTGTAATCAGCTAAAAATAAATCACTTGCAATAAATAGATTTGACATGGATTGACTCTTCTTTCGTAAATTTGTGATGAAATTTAAATAAATGTTTTCTTTTGCTATTGTAATTTTTTAAATTTTATATAGGTCTAGTATTAATATTATTTTTTTGCAGCCAGAATTACATATTTTACATCTACACTATATTTTACATCTACCATCGAAACATCCAAATCCATTCCAGAACCTATTGGCATTTTTATTAAATACATGAATCAGTTTTATTGTCATTCGTAGTAAATTTCAAATACGTGAAAACATAAACTGCCTAAAAATACAAATAAGGCAGTTGGTAGACTGCATGTTCAGTGCAGACGAACTTAGCAGGTGCAATTTAAACGGCACAGCCGTTGTAACGTGCAGGGGGAGAAGATGGAGCGTGAGCCTCTTTCCCCCCCCCCCCACCAAAAGTTGCTGGCTATATTTAGACAAGTGGAAACAGAGTTTCCAGGCTCAACTGTTAAGTGCGATAGGGCCCTGAAGGAGGCAGTTCTCACCGTTCTCACCGCTTCAACAATAAGCCCAGTCGTCTGTAATCACTTGTATTGTTTAAAATAGTGTACATACTGTAATTTAATTCAACATTTTGTCAAATTAAACTATGTTGTTACCAAAAAAGTGTTTCCTTTCATTTGTACTTGTTTTGTTGCATATTATGATTTATTTGAAGAGTGAAAGTGTTTGAATGTGTGCGTGTTTTGCTGCATAACATTTTGTGAGATATAAACTGATAGTGTGTACGATAATAATAATAATAATAATGGAAACCACGAACAGGATACAAAATTAAAGTAAAGCATAATTTAAATCAAACCAGAGCCTTGCAGGCGTCAACGTTCCTATGCATGATACACGACTTTTAGAAGTATATACGTGTATATATATATATATGTATATATATACATATATGTATATATATATTCATATATATTCATATATATACATATATATATATATTTATACATATATATATATATATTTATATATATATATATATACATACATATATATTGATATATATATACGTATACGTATATATATACATATGTATGTATATATATATATGTTTGTCTGTATATATACTTATATATAAGTGTACATTATATATAAGTGTATATATATAAGTATATATATAGGCCTATATAAGTATATATGTAAGTATGTGTATATAATGTATATATATATATATAAGTATGTATATATAAATATATATACGTATATATAAGTATGTATATGTATATATATAAGTATGTATATATATAATATATAAGTATGTATATATATTATAATGCATATATGTATATATAGGCC